GAAGCGTTTGCTGAAAAAGCTTTCGCCATCTGCTGCCAAAGAGGCCGGCGTCCTTTCCCCCCCCCCCCCCCCCCGCAGACCCTCACGCCTTGTTTGCAGCTCCATCCGCTGGCACCAGGACCTCCCCCTCCTGCCCGGGAAGGGGGCTCGGTCCGTGCAGAGCAGCGGGGTGGGGGGGGGGGGGGGAAGGGGGGTCTCAATGGGGGGAGAGGGCGCAAAGGCTGTCTCCCCCCGGGGGGCCTTCCTCATCTCCATCCTCCTCCTCCAAGACTCACAACGCCCCACTTACTCTCACTCTGTGGGCAGCTGCTTTACTTTGCGGTGCCCTCTGCACGCGCTCAGGGGCCCTGTTTCCCAGAAGACAGATTTAGCCCTGGGTTGAACGCAAGCCAGGGAAGCGAAGGCTAACGCTTTCTCCTCCTCCGAGAGCAGCGTCGCTCCCTGGTTTGGCAAGTCAAAAACCTGGGCATGGCAGCAGCCCGACAGTCCCCCATATCTGTGGGTGGAGGACCACCAGGGCACGGGACCCAGGAGTGTGGAGGGTCCCTCTAGGAGGGGGAGCAAGGAGGGAGGGTGTTCCGTGGCCCCTTCCCAGGGGTGGCTAGGCCTCCGCGGCACGCAATGGTTTTAATCGATCGGTTGTTGAAAGGTGTTGACTCCATTGGTCAGTTGGCTGTCCGGGGGGCAAAGGGCAGAGGATGCCACTCAGAGAGGGCTGCCAACCCGAGAGGGGAAACAGGCGGTCTCCTGCCTCTGGGCACAGCCTCGCATTTGGGAGCGGGCCAGGTCCCCTTTGCGCCCGCGGTGGGTCGGGGCCTTCAGTCGGGCTTGTCCTTCCCCTGGACTGCCGCGTCCAGCCCCAGATTCTCCAGCCGCGCCTGTCCTTCTCAGCCAAAGACCTGGGCCAAGGCGGCCGCGCCGTCTGCCCGCAGCCCTGGTGCCCGTCGGAGGCGGAGGCGGCCTCTCCGCCTTCCTGGGCGCATCCAGCTGTCCTGCTCCGTCCGCATCCCCGAGGGGGCCGCGGGGACAGGGCGGGAGGGGCTGTTTGGGAAGGAGGAGCCTGGAGGCAGCCCCGCCCCTCGAAGGTTGAAAACCCCTCCAGGAATGGAGCTGCTGTTGCATCCCCACGTGCTCCGCAGTAGGAAAGAGGAGCCGGGCAGAGGCAGATGCCCTGAGCGTGCCCCGCGACCCGGGACTCTCCGGGGGAGGCGCAGATGAGAGCGGCCGCTTCTCCGGGTCCGACATGCAGCTCCGCACCTCGGCCGGACTTCTGCTGTGCCTGGGTTGGCTGTGCCTGTCGCCCGGCGCCCCCTCGCCCTGCCTGGAAGAGTGCCGCTGCTACCTGAGCGCGCTGCTCTGCCAGGAGCCGCGCGACATCCACTCGCTGGCGCAGCTGCGCAGCCTGGAGAACTTCACCGAAATGTGAGTGTCGGGGAGGGGGGGGATGCGGAAGGTGGAGCGGAGGGCGGGGAGCTAAGCGAGCCGGAGCGGCGGGTCTCCCCAGAAGAGGGGCGCAGCGGAAGGAAAGTTTGACAGCCGGCGGAGCCTCAGCGCCAGAGTCAGGTCTCGCTCCGGTTCTACTGCCCCTCCCGCTCCTGCTAAAGAGACGCGGACCCTCCCTCTTTTCTCCCCGCTTGGGGTCGTCGCCCTGAAAACACCGGGGCGGTCGAGCCCCAAACAAAGGCAGGTGGCTTTCCAAACGGGGTTTGCAGGGAAGCCCCGTCCGAAGCGTTGGCAGCGTTTCCCTGAGCTCCCCTTGGTGCCAACTGCGATAACAGCGCTGAGCAAACTTTGAGAAGGGTTGCAAGGTCGGAACGGCTTTTGTTTTGCCACAAAACCTAGAGTGGAGGGGGGGAGAAAGAGAGAAGGGAAAAGAGAAAGAAACGAGAGAGAGAGAGAGAGAGAGAGAGAGAGAGAGAGAGAGAAAGAAAGAAAGAAAGAGGCAGAAAGAGTCAAAAACAGAGAAAGAGATGCAAATATCCACATGGATGCGCTTTCTGGGCTGCCAAATAGTGACCAAGTCCCGTCAAGAGCTCCTAAAACTGAAAACTGGTCTTTAATATTCTGGAGCAGTCAAGAACGGAGCACATCACATAATTGAGAAGCGGCACTTTGATTCTGTGGCTCAGCAAGTGGCCAGGATTCGGGGTTCAAAGGGGCTGCAGCCACCTTCTCCTTGCATGGATCTTGTGGGGGGGGGGGCAGCAAAGCTTCTGGATGGGGGTGTTGGCCCAGTGGGTCCCCTCACCCCATCCTAGCCAGAGAGGAGACCTGGCAATGAGCCGTGGAATTACCTCCACCTCGTCCCCGGGACCATTCTTGATTTTTCCATGGGGGCCTTGAGCATGGAGTGAGGCAGCCCCTCCTCCACCCGGCCTTGGTCTCCTGGCCACCAGCCATCTTCCCTGCAGAGGAGGCCACCTCATCTCCAGGAAGGGGGACGCACTCAGCATGGCCCTGCCTGGCTGGCTCCCCCCCCCCCCCCCCGGGGCATAATGCTTCCCAAGGCTGCATTAGCAGCTTCCTAGAAGACCCAGCCCAGGTGGGCCCCTTGTGCCACCGCCATGAGAAAGGGTTGCCACATGCTGGCTCCCTTTGGCAGCCCAGCCCCTGCATGGCGGGGGGGGGGGAGGCCAGGCTGGCGGTGAGACCCCCAAGGACAGAGGTGGGGATTCAGGCCGGCCCCGAAGCTAACTAGGCATAAAAATGGACACAGCGTGTACCCTGGGAAACATGCCACTGAAATGCTGGTCTCACTGGGACGCTCTCGCCCCTCCCCCCCCAAGGACAGAAGATTTGGGTCCTGCTGATGAGACTTCCATTGAGTAAGGGGGGGGCACATGGAAGTCTCACCACCTGGCAGAAGCCCTACCCCCCCCTCCACCCCTTTCTTAGGGAAGGGTGGGAACAGGTTTGACTTAACAACTTCTCTTTATATGCCCTGCAGCCCCAAAATGGCAGTTTCTTTCTCCCATCGGCCTTTGAGGGGTGTTTGGTGGCATCCCTGTTGCAGTCAAGAGGCCCCGATTCATACCCTGCGCCTGCCGCAGGTGGCAGCCCACCCTCTTATGCCCGCAATGCAGTGGAGTTCATCACTTGGTGCTACTTTCGCCCCTCATCTCTTCTGGTCCTCTCACAACACACACACACACCCCTCCCTCCCTCCTCCTGCTCTCTGGCATCCCCTTTCTTGGATGACTTGGGCGTTTCTTTATTATTTCACAAACCTTTCCCCTCTTCCTCTCAGGATCACTTTTGGCACTTTGGCTGTTCATAACTTGCAGGCTGGAGAGGGCAGACAACCTTTCCTCTGTTCCACACGGTGTGTGTGTGTGTGTGTGTGTGTGTGTGTGTGTAATCCTCATTTAGCAGCCGGGACGGATAGTTTGTAAGCCGCACAAACCCAAATCGTAGCTAGCATCACTTTCATGGGTGAGAGGCAAAGAGGTTTGAACGGAGACATTGCGAGGGGAGGAAAATCAATACTTTGAACGCTGGGATCCAAACGCATTAGACAGCCCGTAAATATTTCAGAATAGGCCAGTCAGCCACATTCATTACATTTTTCCATTCATCTGACGCAGAGAACAAATTAAAGGCAGTGGGGGGTGGGGGGAGCCAAAGCTGTCAACACATTAATTGTGTTAATTCTTGGAAAACAATGTGTTATTGGGGGTCAGCCACCTAAAAGGACCTCATCAGTTTTGAGGGCTGCTTTGTCTGGCCTGAGATTCAATCCGGTGGGCCAGTTTAACTTGGTTATTTGTAAAAAGCGCTGAAGAAGCCTTTTTGGGTCGGGAGTTTTCTTCCACTCGAGCTAACCTTGGTTGCTTTCTAGAGGCAGAAGGAGCTTTTTGTGGGAATGCAGGTGTGTGTGTGTGTGATCTCTGTTTTGGTTTGCTCTGTGGATGAAGGGGCACCATCCTGCCCGGGGCTGAAGCTCCACTTCTCCTCCAGGTTCCCACTAATAGCTCCTCTCTATCTTCTGAACCGCTTAAGTGGCGAGAACGGATGGTCCATTATGCCAAGGCTGTTTTCCCCAACATCGGAGGGACCCATCAATTATGCCCGGTGGCAGGAAGAGAGGAGTTCCCGGAAAAGCTGTGGCGAGGTGGGGAGGGAGATGCCACTCGGTCCTGCCTGGGCTGAGCCCCACAGCGAGCCAGCCCTACGGCTGGGCATCCTAAGCCCCACTGAAGGGCACCGGCCCACTCGTGGCTCCTGGATTTTGAACAGCAGTTCGCGCTTCCACTCGGCAACCCCAGAAATGCCTTGTGGGTTCATGTCTGGGTCTGAAGACACCCAGGGACGGAGGGTCAAAAACAGCCCCTAAAGGAGTTTTTGCTGATTTTCTGGCTGTGATAAATGAAATTTAAAAAATATATATTTGCAACTTAGATTCTCTTTGTGATCTTCCCGTTAAGATTTCAGGTTTAATATTCTGTGCTTTGTATTTTTGCTCCTGTGTTCCTGTTTATTGAAATACCATGTGAATGTGCCATACAAAAAAAAAAAAGAAAGAAAGACATAATACCTAAGGGTGAGAAAGGGGTTGGAACTGGGCCGGAAAGTGGCCGGCTCTGGCAGGGTCTCCTCTGCCACAGAGCCAGAGCCGGAAGGGGATCTGCTCTTTTTCAGAGTTGTCGAAAACCAGGCTGGGCTGATCAACCTGACTGGGGACGACCTGAAAAATCCCCGGGAGCTGAAGAATCTGTGAGTTTTGGAGGAGGGGGAGGCGCTTGGCCAGCTCAAGGGGGAGGATGGGGGGGGGGTGTTGTTGGCAGAGGGGCTCTGCCTGGGTGGAGGAGGCAGTTCTTCACCCCTTCCTGCCCTCTGAAGACCTTATGCTTGTCTTGCAGGACGATTGCGAGGACCAGCCTGAAGTTCATCGCTCCAGATGCCTTCAAGGCCAGCCCAAATCTGACCCACGTGTGAGTGTTAGGCATGGGGCCTTTCTGCCTGGGGGGGGTGGTGCAGGGGGCTTCCTGCAGAGAGGGTCTTTCAGGCACGGGCAGGAGGGATGATCCTCAGCTGAGGCTCAAAGCTGGGCTGGGGGATTCTGGGAGTTGAAGTCCACCCGCCTTAGACTTGCTGGCGTGGAGCAATCCTGGCTGAAACAATGACCGATCTTCCTCAGGAAGAGGAACTGGGCTCTGCTCCATCCGAGAAACCCCAGGGGTCCCTCTCTGCCCCCCCCTCACAGGTCGATTCTGCTCCCCCTCGCCCCTTCCCCTTTGTTCATTAACAGCTTGCCTGGAACCGCGATTAATCATTGTTAGGGTTAATGTCCCTCTGCAACCCACAACGATCGATGGATCCCTGCTCAGCACAGCTCTGGCTGCCCTCTTGGCAGGCGGGAAAGCCAAGCCGAAGCCACCGGATGGGCTGGTGTGGGGCCAGCCCGGGGGGGGGGGGGGGAGCAACAGGCAGCACCAAGGCCAGAAGCCCGTGGGAGGGTCAGTTCCAAAGGGCAAAAGCCATGGCTTCCATTCCTGGGAAGTCCGGGCGGCCCTGGCCTCCCTCAGACCAGGCGCTGGGTCACCTCCCCATGAGGGTGGAGGGGACGATGCGGTCAAAAGCTCAGCCTGGGCACGAGCCACGGGGCGGGGCTGCCTCCGTTGGGCGGCTCACCCAAACAAACCTGGATCCGGTGAACTTAGCAGTGCAATAAACAGCTACGGAGCGCTTCCTGGCGGAGCTTCTGGGTCAGTCCCAGCCGGACGAGGCTGCCCCTGCAGGGAGAAGGGGCAAGGATGTCGTTTCCTTCTGTCTCTCCGTAGGAATCTGGCCTTCAACCAGCTGGAGTTCCTCTCCTGGAGGACCTTCCACCACCTCCGCCTTCAGGAGCTGTGAGTCCACACACACACAGAGAGACCCTTCCAACTCACAAAGTTGGGTCTTGTCCTTGATTTCTGGCAGAGCAAAGCCCCTGCTCCCCCTCCCCCCCCCCCCATGCTATCTTCCAATGTTTAAATTTGACTCCGCTGGAGTTGCGCTTTCCTGAACCAACCAGGAGATTTCTGAGTTCTTTGAACATTCAAGCTGTTTAATTTGTTCTGATGGAAACTGGTTTATTCCTTCCAACTCCCAGTGAGCCTCTCCTGCAAAATATTCTGGCTTTCCTGCTGAGGGACAGGCCTGACCCGGGTGGGGTGGTGGAGGGTGGACGGTCCCTTCCTCATGGCGCTGTTTGGCCTCAGATGGCCCTGCGAGGTTCCGCCTTTCTGGGCTGGATTGATTCACTCAGGATAAAAGGGGCCTGCCATGCCGGCTTCTACTCCATAACGCAATTTGGAGATCCACTCCGCTTTAAGCAAGTATTAAAAGATCAGCGTGGATAAATTGGGTTTCTAGCCAGGCTTGGCAAATATCACTGTTCCCGTTTAATGCTATTCTGGAGAGCCGGAGGCATTGACCAAAAAATTAAAATAAGGAGATGGATGTTCTCCGGGCCCTCTATTCTGGATGGAAGCTGGGGGGAGGGCGGGGGGAAGAGTTTGCAGCTTTATCGGGCTGACTGCGTCGTTCCCCCCCACTCTGGCTTCCTCTGGGCAGGGTCCTTGTGGGAAACCCCCTCCGGTGTGTTTGTGGGCTGCTGTGGCTGCAATCGTGGCAGCAGAAGAGGCAGCTGGACTGGGCGGGCAACCAGTCCCTCCAGTGCCTGCAGGAGGACAGGACCCTGGTTCCCGTCTTCAACCTCACCCTCTCCGGCTGTGGTAAGGCAGAGCCCCCCTCAGTGGGAGACCCCGGCCGAAATTCAGTGGACGGGAGCTCCTTCCTGCATGGATGCAATTCCAGCCCTGTCCAGAATTTTCCCGGCTCCTTTTACTGCCGCAAGAGAGTCCCTCTCCAGCTTGGTGGGGGGGTGTTGGTGGCTACCTGAAGCCCCCCCTCTCCCCCTCCATCCCTGTGCAGATTTCCCCAAGGTCAGGATCGACTATGACCCCACCCCGATGGGGGAAGGCGGGAGTGTCAACCTGACGTGTCACATCGCAGGAGAGCCGCAGCCGGTGGCGGATTGGGATTTGCCCAAGGTGGGGGGTGAACACCCCCTCCAAACCAAGGCAAGTTGTGGGTGCGGCCGACCAAATGCTCTCTGGAGCCCTTAAAGCAGGGGGTCTGGCTGGTCAGTGACTCCTGTTTCTGCTCCCCCAGAAGTCGGAGTCGGAAATCGTGCTGCAGATCACCAACGTCTCTGCCAGCTACAACCTGCAAAACATCACCTGCCAAGCAGAGAACGAGGCGGGCATGGGGCAGGCTGTCGCCCGGCTGAATGTGACCTGTAAGAGGAAAGGGGGCGCGGGGGCTGGGTGTGGGTGCCCGTCCCTTTTAGCTGGAATTCGGCAAAGGGGCCTGAGAACAAGGAATGAGCTACTTTGTGTGTGTCTTTGGCAGCTAGGAGATTTTTTACCTTGCAAGAAAGGGGAAAGTGCCCAGGTGGCAGATTGAGCAAACCAGCAAAGAGATAGGGTGGGCTGCCCCCTCGCTGAGGTGGTACAGTCCAGCCTTGGTGTTCACGACTCTACCGCCCAGCTTGGGGCTGATCCAAGCCCAGCAGAGAGCTTGTCCAGCTGGGTCACTTTTTCAATCCCTCGTCCCTCTTGGAGGTCCAGTCTTGATCTGACCGGGGGGGGGGGGGGGGGGAGCGCCTGGAGTCTCGCTGCAGTTGAGACGTGCAGGGGAAGGACTTGAAAGGGACGTCCAGTCTGGGGCGCCCCACAACCCCCCCCCCCTTTCCCCCTTTCTGCAGTCCCAGCCATGATCCGCGCGATGGGCCAGGCCGTCATGTACTACCGCTGGTGCATCCCCTTCTCCGTGGACGGCAACCCCACGCCCAGCATCCGGTGGCAGCTGGACCACAGGGACCTCCTGGAGACGCAAATCATCCACACCAAGCTCTTCCCGGAAGACGCCCCGACTTCCACCATCGTCCACGGCTGCCTGATCCTGGACAAGCCCTCGCACTTCTTCAATGGCAACTACACCCTGCTGGTGGCCAACGCCCTGGGCTCGGCCTCCTGCACCACCTACCAGCACTTCATGGCGCTCCCGGACGAAGGCTTCAACGAGGAGGAACCCTTTCACGGTGCCAGCCTCTGCGGGCTTCTGGGTCAGGCGCGGAGATGCGCCAAAGGCGGCGGTGCAGAAAATGAGGGGGGAGCCAGGCGGTGTCTTTCTCTGAAGGACGCCCCGGGGTGGAGAGCCCCCCCGAAGGGGCCTGTCGAGGCAGCCCTTGCCCTGGGTGCCTGGGGGTGCGGGGGGGGGCAGGAGGAGGAGGAGAGAGGGTGCAACTGGGGGGCTGCCCCGTTTGTGTGGGGGAGGCACCTGAGCTCCGAAGGTTCACCAACCTCCCCTTCTTCTCCTTCTCTTTCCTGGCTGCTCAGGCTCCCTCACGCCCGGCAGTAAGTGAGGTTCCCTTTTGCCCTGGGGGAGGGGGAAGGGAGGAGGGCCCCACCCCACCTGGGACAGAGGAGGGCCACGCGGAAACTGGGGTGCTTTCCAATGGAGAGGCCCCCCTCCCTCTCTCTTGGTGGGTGAAGGCACCCCACAGAGAGCCTTTGCGCCCCGTGATCCAAAGGGCAGGGATGGTGGGGGAGGGGGACGCTACTGGGAGGGGGGGGGGCTGCCTGCCCAGAAATGGCCTGATTCTGTTCTCCCTTTTGTGCCCAGGAGCGGAGGATGCAAATGGCACCCAGGGGACAGCCGTGGAGACCTCAGAGGAGCAGCCGATTGGGGTAAACGGCCAAGAAGGAGCCCCCCCCCTTGGGGGGGGGGGGGGGGGGGGAGGGGGGGGGGGGGGGCCCTCTTCTCGGGGGGGGGGGGCGGGCGCAGCCGAGGGTGCCACACTCTTCCTCCCTCCACACTCTGCAGATCTCCGTGGCCGTGGTCCTGGCTGTTTGTGCCTGCGTCTTCCTGTCCATCATGCTGGTCATCCTAAACAAGTGTGGACAGCGCTCCAAATTCAGCATCAAGCGTAAGTTGGGGGGGGGGCTTCAGCCTTCCCTACCGCCCCCCGTGCACTGGGCTGGAAATGGACTTCTCTAGGGGTGGACATCTGTGGGGCCCCTCCGGTGGCTTCCCAGGGCAGCCGTGGCCTTCCTTGCCCTGACCGGAGAAGGTGGTCCGGAGGGCTGGAGAAGGAGAGGCGTCAGGGGGGAGGAGGAGCTGCCCCCCCAGCCTCCCCCCACTTCATTAGTCTTCCTCCTCCTCCTCCCCCTCCCCCTCCAGGCAGGCATCAGCTGCTAATTCACTGCTGGAATTGATTCAGGCTGTAAATGGGCTTGATCGGCCTGAATCACCCCCAGGGGGCCTGGAAAGGCAGCAAAATGCTGGGGGGGGGGGGGGGGGG